TTCATATCCATGCCCATCTATGAGCTACATTTGTTTGGTGGGGAGCAATATTCAGAGATGAAAATGGCTGTGTTTCTAAATATAAAAAAGATTGCCTCGAATATGAATAATACTTGAATATTGTTACAGGCCACTTTCTCTACAAATAATTATGAGGATTTACTTCCTGGAGGGTCTCATACAGAATTTAAAATAGTAATTTGTTTGGTATCTTGATTGTTAGATGGGTGAAATAAATCTAATTCATCCTTCTGAATCAATCCATTATTCTGCAGCTTGGGACCTTTAATGTTAGTGAATGATTAAGAGCCTTTTCCCCCCTTCTCCACCAATAGGATAGGTATTTATATCACATAGGTCATGCCCTATTCTATGACATCATTAGATTGGAACTTCTCCACACAACTATTGAAATCAAGACAGTAGGGGAGAACCTACTGTGGTGGGAGGGCTGCATATCCATCTCCAGAGAGCCAGTTCCATCAAACTCTCTTGGACCCTCCTATTAACTATTTGGCACGAAGCATAAGACCTCTTTTATGTTGCCAGGGGAAAATCAGAAATCTTAAAACTTTCTACACTCTTGTTGATTGTCCTAGCTGTTCGACACTGTCGCATTTCAATTTCTGACCTTTTGGATATTGCCAGCAAACTTGCTAATCCCAGAGACTTTTCGGCAAGAGAGCTGTGGCAACAATTACAGTATTTTGCTGTAAGTATTTCTGTTTGTGCTTGCCATTTCTGGCTGAAAGTTTGCTGTCAGAAATGGATAATAGTTTCTGTTACACTCCAGCTAAGATGTAGCATTCTCCATGTTTTCATTGGGACTTTGTTTTTGAAGAATTTATTGGACATCACTACCGATGAGGAAGTAACAAAACTTTGTTTCAGAAGAATGGACACCCCACCCAAGAAAGATGGAAGGTTAATAATTTTGTATCTGTAAAAAAAAAAATCAGCTACTTTATTATGTAAAACAAAATCAAACTTTAACAAGTATAATTGTCTTAAGTTTTAAAATTGCATGTACATTACATGCAACATATATGACACCTTTTTTATTTCCTAAATGTATTATTTGAATTGGTATATTGATTCTATTCCTGCATCAAAGTCCCCCCCCCTTTTTTTTACTATAACTGGGATTGCATTACTAGGAATGTGTTTAGGAGACTTTTCAATGATCCACAAGTAGCCAGAGATCTCAGGTTTTATTCTAGCATATTTACTGCCCAGCACTGAAATAAGCTGGATCTGAAGGAGTGGGTGGAACAGCATTAGTGGGAATGGAGCCTTGGTTTTAATCAATATGCACTTTAAGGCTCATTATTTTATGGGATCCAAGAATTATGCCTATTCTGTGGCAGTGCCTTTCCACTGATATTCCTCCTGCCCCAAGAAAATAATGTGGTACCTACCTTTATGATATTTTGGCAATTACAAAAAAACTAGTTTTCTCAGGATTGGGTAGTTGTGAAGCCCTTTATTTAATTTAGTATGATTTAAACTTCAGCATTTATTTTTCAGTCAGCTATGTTCTCTTTTTCTATATATTGCTTTTCTTTTATTTGTAAGCTGCCCAGAGTGACCATGGAGTTAGAAAGCCTACAAATTAGATAAAATAAATAAAAATAAACAGGTGTTTTGTTTTGTCAGGATTCATAAAGGTTCATACTTGGGAACTTTTCTCATGAATAAAATATGTTCACTGGAACCTAAATAAAAGTTGGATTCCTGAAACAAGAATCTTCCATTACATTTTTAAAAATCTTTTATTCAATTTTTTGAGTCTGAGGACATTTATTGAAAAAAGTAAAATGTTGATTTACACTAAAGCAGTTTATCCAAACTGCAGAGGGTGACACCTGGCTTTCATTCTTACATTTCAAAATATTTATCCTTGCCAAAGACATCTGAAAATATCTCTCGTCTTCAGAGAAGGCCACTATCCATTTTAAAAATTTAGATTTGACAATATATCTTCCCTGAAGATGAGTACTTTTAGGCATGGTGGAACAGCTTCTATTTTGATGCAGAAGGTCTCATGTTTAATTCTGGCTTCTGTAAGTTGGGTCACAAATATTTCAGGCTAAAACTTTCATCCATTCATCTGATATGATATGAGGCAGAACAGAGGTTTAAGAAAGTAAATATTACTATCTTGGCTTTTTGTTATCTTCCCTGAAAAGCTATCCTTCTTGATAAACCACCAGAAAAAAGGTTGTTTAAGTTCTTATCTTTCTAACATGGGTAGCTTTTGTCTATTGAGATTCTCAGTCATCCAGGTCATGGCTATTTCAAAGGTGATTTTTGAAAAGGTAACTGGACTTACTTTGTTTTTCCTGGAAGACATTTTTCTTCTTATCCAAGAAGCTTTTTCAGTTCTGACTGAATGGTGGAAAATGGAAGGATTTATGTTCCTTGCAGTCATCTGGCTATTAGCCCTCTTTCTAAGAGTTGTTGAGGCAGTGTAGAAGGGGTTTACCTGTGTCCTCAGGATCACCTAGGTTAATAGGTGCAAATGGGTGTGGAACTTTCTTGGAACTGCTGAAAGGACTGTGTTGTAAACAGGAAATAGGTGATGTCATATCCCTCCACCTTTGTTGAGAGAGAGAGTAGTCCAATCTTAACGTAGATGACCTCTTTGACCCTTCTTTCAAACCAGCAGTCCTCTCTTCCAGAATGTGGAGTTTGCTGTCATCAAAAGAATGATCTTTATCTTTCAAGTGTAAATTGACTGCTGAATCTTGTCCTGATGGGTTTGTTCTCCTATGTTGTACCACATGTTTGTGAAGTGGTTGGTTTGTTTCTCCAATGTACAGATCTGCACTGCATTGTACTGCATATATCCACCCCAAAGGTAAAACCCTTGGCCCAGTTACAAACTGAGCAATGACATATGCAATAGCAAAACAAGTAGCAAAAGAAAAGACAGTCAGTTTGATTTAGTGATGAAGATGCTAACCTAGAAACCAGGAGACTCTGAATTTTAGTCTTGCCTTAGGTATGAAAGCCAGCTGAGTGACTTTGGGCCAGTCATTTAGTCAACCCACCTCATAGAGTTGTTGGGGGAATAGAATGAGGAAGGAATGTTAAGTATGTTTGCTGTTTGAGTTATTTATAAAGTAATAATAATAGGATAAAAACTCCAATAAATAAATAGATTATAAAAGAACTAATGTCAACTCATAAAACATTTCGTATACACGTTTTATAGTTGACAACAGAAATAAGGGGGGGTCAAAGAGCAGACCACAGGGTAAATCGAAAGTACATTCCATTCATATTTTCTTCTGATTAGATGGCTGAAGCTTCTGCCGTGAAAAAATCTAATGGAGTGCATGATTGATGACTCTTGGCTATGGACGTTTTTTCATTGGATGATACACCCAGAGGGGTGGGGGGGGAAGCAGGATCAAGGGTGACAATGAATTATGTATCTCAGAGTTGGCTACGGCCAGATTAGTGCCGGAAGTAGAATGTTACCTTCAAATAAATCCTCTTTAGTTTTGGGAGTGTGGCTCAAGGCTCATGATTTAATTGAAGTAACTGCCGGAACCCTGATAACTAACACACTTCACTTCTGAAATCATTTATCCATTGCCAGATCCATTGCCAGTTATATTAATAGGGAAAAATCTTGTTCCATGGAACCTCTGAAGTCATACATCATTTAAGGCTGAAGAAATATCAGACATTCTTGTGAGATGTTAATGATGACACTCAAAGTCTTAATAACATCTCTAAGGGAGATTGCCAAAATGTCCTCTCATGAGACTGTTATATTTAAAAAGTTGTTGACTTCTGCTTTAAAGGCTCGTGAAAGACATGCATGTATTTTAGCAACCAGAATTGGTTCTGTCAACTTGATCATTAAGCGAAATGTCACCAAATGAAAATTAAATGACTCTGTACTTATGATTTCAGCTTTCCTTAAGAGGCAAACAAAAGCCTTCAGCATGAAACTAACTAAGGCTTGCCAGTTTAATGCACCAGCTGTGGTGGCACAATGGTTAGAATGCTGTATTGTAGGCTGACTGCCCACTATCAGGAGTTTGATCCTGATCGGCTCAAAGTTGACGCAGTCCTCCATCCTTCCGCGGTCGGTTAAAGGAGGACCAAGATTGTTGGGAGCAATATGCTGATTCTTAGAGAATGCTGTAAAGCAGTCTAGGGCATGTCAAAATTTTCAACTTTCCATTTCCAAATATTAAGGAGTACTCAAAAGTTGTGACATGCCTTGGGGATTATAAAGATATTTTGTTTACTTTAATATAATTTAGATGTGCTTGGTAAGTAACTACATAAATACAACTTTTTAACATTTTCTTTGTTTCATTTGAAAGCACTATGAAGTGAGATACAAGTCTAAATGCTGTTGCTATTCTGTAAGTGCATTCTAATAAACTTATTAAGATCACAGAGTTGAGCTTATCGCAGTTAGCACTTTCTAGGGATACACTGTGCTGCAGAAAAAAACAGCTCAGGAAGGAATAGTTTATTTAGGCAATCTCTCTGCTTTTGGGACAAGGGAGGAAAAAATGGATCAGTTACAGAAAAAGTGCTGACTGGCTATAATGGGGGATATGTGTCTAAGAGAGACATTGCAAAGGTCGTAAACGTACACATTGGTCCCAAAGCTACTTTTTCATCCCTGTTATAATTGTAAATAGTTGCTATCCAAAGCAGTAGCTAAATGACTATCTGTGCTTGGTTTCATCCCCTGGAATAACCTATGGAAAAAAACCTAGCATTAGGGTTAGGTTATTCCAGGGGAATAACCCTGGAATAACCTAACCCTAACCCTAACATAGGTATATCTACAGGTATATCTGAACTTACTATGCTTCTATATCACCAAAATGTTGCAATTAGAACTTTGTGCCCTTGGTGGAGAGTAACTAGAGAGAACCAAAGCCAGAACAGAACCATCTCTGTAAATGAATGTTTTGTTTTCCTTCCTTCACAGCAAACCCCAAGACCTAACTGAGAATACCAAAATGGGTGGTCAGCCCCAGAACTCAAATGCAGAAACTGAGGAGAACAAATCCAATTACCCAAATGAGGAGGGTGAACACGACAAGAAATCTCCCGGACAGCAGGTTAAAGAGGAAAAATCTAAAGACCTAAAGGAACAGAATGAGGATAACACCCAGCCATCTTTAAAAACATCAGATCTGCAGGAAGATAAAGAACCCTCAGCATTATATTCCTCTAGTTCATGGGAAAAAGAAACATCAGATTGGAAGGATGATCTATCTAGCTTTCTTACTCCCGAGAAAAGCACAACTATTTTTTCCTCCCTCATTTCAGAGCAGTAAGTCAGAGTAGCAGAAGATAAGATTATCAGGATTTTTTGGTCCTGCAGTTTAGAAGATAATTTCCAAAGGAGCCTCAGTTATACTCAGTTCAGTTTAATCTAACCTTTTCACTGTCTTTGTAACAGCTGTGTAACAGCTTCAATTGCTTAAACTATTACATGAAAGGGAAATCCTGTACTATATAGTATTTATCTCATGAATCTTAAATTTCACATGCTAACTTTCTACAATATCAAGATGCAGTACATGGTTTTTTCATGTTGTCATCTAGCAATCTGAGTGAACATATTCATGATGTGCGAAGTCACTATATTGCCTTTGCATAACATGCTAAGATTGATCAATTTTAACTCTGATTTAAAATCAGGGGTTTTGGTCACAGCCTATATATGTTTAGCAAATTCAACCATTTTTCTAATTAATAACTCAATGTATTTGCAATCACCAAAAAAGGGTTAACTCAGAAGCCAAAGGTGTGTCAAGTGAACCCAGTCATAGAGAGAATTGTCATCTGTTCCTAGTCTTGAGTTTATTTTTCTCTTCCTAGTACTGACACTGATGATCTAAAGACATCAACTTGGACTGAATCCCAATTGGTGAATCCAGAGTTGCAGTCTGAGGTTGAATCTGTTCCTGTATGCGTATGGAAGAAGCCTACAGAATGGAAGGAAGAGGAACGCCGTTTTTCTATCCCAGCACGCAAGCCTTCTTTCCATAACCGCTGTGGCTGCAGTACAACTGAGTAAGCTAAGACATCAAGTGATGATGGGCTTTGGGCATTCCGCATATTATTCCACATATTATTACATTCTTCTCATTGTTCCTCCTTTGTCTGTTTTGAACTGTGTTGAAGTACATTTCATGGAGTCTTGAGACAGAAGAAGCTAACGTTCAAGCAAACAGCAGGCTGGAATTTATGAAAAGTTTTAGATGGGAAAACTTTTGGCTACTGAAGTATTTCCCTGAATGTTTGTAGCTGTCTTAAATATTTGAATAGTGGGATTATCCTGCCCGCACAATTGTATAAAGCCATTAATTTTAAGACAAAGTGAAGTAATTCGATAGCACCTTTTCTAACCAACCACTTTTATTACGAGGTACTTGTAAACTACAGCTCACTTCATCAGCTGCATATAGTAGATAGGCTAATGTAGAATTTAAATTGGGATAGGTGGAAGATAAGTCAGCTATGCAGTTGCAGTTTGCTCATCAGACTGATCACAAACAACTTAAAAAAATATGACGTCTTAAAAACCATTCTGATTATTGTTTTATATTCAAAGTCTTCCACTATTTCTAATCAAATCACAGATATTTTTTGATCATTTTAAGTTATTTTCTTTTGAACAAGGCACATTGGCTTTTATCACTGTAAATCCTTTATCTAGTCTGATTAAAATATTGGACTATATATTCTGTGCTGTCAGTTTCATTTTGTTTTAAAGCAGTTGAAAATGAAATTCAGGAAATACATTTCGGTCACTTTCCCAATATGCTAATCTTTTCATTTTTGTCTCTCGTAGACGATTGATCAAGCACAGCCCACTGCATCTTCCCAAAGCACCATTTCACAAAAGCATTATGTGGAGACATCAAAGACCACTATTCAGAGGACACGAGGTGAGAGCAAGAGTTACAGGGCTGTATTAAGATCTAGTTTAAAAATATTGGAGTTTTCCTAGAAAATTACCCATGGAAATGAGTAGTAGTAGTGTACACTGAAAGACAGCTTTTCCATTACCACTATCACTGAACCTCTGCTGACCCCAGGAAGCATTAAGCATCCTTCCTCATACTTTCAGCTCAAACAAAGCCAGAGAAATGGGAAATAAAAGCATCCCTGTATGAACTGCATGCTTCTGTTACAAGCCCCCAAATTGTAGAGCTTTGTTTCACAACCTCAGCAGATGGGAATTCTTGGAGTTGCTGAGATTAAAAAACTCTGGATTTCTGAATTGGCTTCTAATTAAACCATCTTTAAGCCAATCTTTTCATGACTAGAGATCACACTGAACCTTTTGGGCAAAGAAGCGTAACTGTGGAATTGTGTTACATCTGTAGAAAAAGTCAGGATTTTATTCTTTTTTGCCCCCAAATTGAAAGGAAACAGGGTTGGGGGTCTATTAGCAGGAGTGCTCAGTTTGATGGCTCTTGTCCTAGGCACAATATGAAGAATAAAAGCATCTGTTTAATAAAAATGAAGAAAAGATATTCTTTGAATTATGGAATCATGCAGTGTTTCTTCAGCAGTATGAAGGTGGCTTCTCATAGCCTTTTTCCAAGCCATTTTCCCATTCCATCTTTATTATAACTATAGTATATTCAATCAATTAATTGAGGTAGGATGATGCAATGATTATAAGAGCAGGGCTGTGGCCACATCTTTTTTTGATGTCTTCTGGAATTGATCCCAACATGAGGCGTTTGTGTGACTTCAATGGCATTGAAAGTGGCAGAGGAGATAATCAGGCTCCTAAGGAATTACAGAAAGGTATCACACTTTGAGGCCATTATTTTCTTAGGTATGGGTTGGACTATAAGAACTCTTACAGCCCTATAATTCTATAATTTAGAGGCTCTTGTAAGTCACAATGGAGCAATCTCCTGAAATGAGTGGCTCTTGGTGCTCTCTGAGCCTGATTGTTTTCTGAAGACATTTCATTACCCAAACTATGTAACATTATCTATGCATCCTAGCACTGATAATGTTGCTTAATTTGGGTAATGAAATGTCTCAGAGACCCCCAAGGATCCTTCATTTCAACTCTGAGTTACAAATATTCTCCTTTATTGGAATCTCCTGATAATCAAGATGGATACAAAAATCCTATTTCATTGAAGTATAGACACTGGTTAATCATGGCTCAGTGGCTAAGACACTGAGCTTGTCGATCAGAAAGGTCAGCAGTTCAGTGGTTCGAATCCCTAGTGCCACGTAATGGAGTGAGCTCCTGTTACTTGTCCCAGCTTCTGCCAGCCTAACACTTTGAAAGCATGTAAAAAAGCAAGTAGAAAAATAGGGACCCATTTGGTGGGAAGGTAACAGCGTCCCATTTGCCTTCGGCATTAAGTCATGCTGGTCACATGACCACAGAGATGTCTTTGGACAGCGCTGGCTCTTCGGCTTTGTAACGGAGATGAACATCGGCCCCTAGAGCCGGAAATGACTAGCACCTATATGCAAAGGGAAACTTTACCTTTACCTTTTAGTCATTAGATAAATGGTTTACTTTCTATGTCTGCCTTTGCAGCCTATATAATCTTCAGTTCATTGTGTAGTTACATAAATATTATAATGTAAAAAATACTAAACAAAGGCAGTATAACAGAAAAAAAACAGTATAGCAAAACAAAAAGAGCAAAGGGAGAACAAAAACCTTTAATCAGATACAAAACATGTTTTGTATGTGTATGTTTGTTTTTAAAAATATTTTTTTTAAAAAAAAATCCTTTAATCAGCAACATAACCATTTTGGAGACTTCTGTCTTTGAATAAATTGTTATCTATTTACTTATAAATTTATAATGTAGAAACCTACAGTTACGTACAGGAATCCCATATATCCCGTTGAAGTAATTGAGATAAAGAAGGATTCTTTTGCTTTGAATTCAAATTAGTAGGTGGCTATAATAATAACATGTAATATATTAGTAGGTGGCTATAATAATAACATGTAACCTTGCCTTACATGTTAGCATTATGACAATATTAGGACTGAAGAGCTTCAAGTTTGCACAGATTTTCTTTTCACTTTTTATCATCACATTTGTGCTTCTTCTTTGTTTATCGCTCATCTTTAATATTGCTGGAATAATTAGACTGGAATAAAGGTTTGGCCAGAAAATCTGTTAAGTTGCACTAGCCTTTACTTCACACACCCCTCTAACTTTACCTGGTCCAAATTAAGTTTGGAGACAAGAATGGATTCTTTCCCTCCCCCCTAATAACAACTCATATCTTATTTTTATTTTATTTATTTATTTATTTTATTTATTTATTTGATTTGCCAATTGTTTACAAGATAATAAGTATAAGTGTATACATAGTTGTGAATACATGAAATGGGTACATATAAGAAAAATAAAAGAAGAATAAGAGAAACAATAGGACAGGGACGGTAGGCACGTTGGTGCGCTTATGCACGCCCCAAAAAGACCTCTTAGGAAAGGGGTGAGGTCAATGGTAGACAGTCTTGAGGTTAAAGTTTTTGGGGTTTGGGGAAGAGACTACAGAGTCGGGTAGAGTATTCCAGACATTGACCACTCTATTGCTGAAGTCGTATTTCCTGCAATCAAGTTTGGTGCGGTTTACTTTGAGTTTGTATCTATTGTGTGCTCTTGTGTTGTTATGGTTGAAGCTGAAGTATTCATTGACAGGTAGGACATTGCAATGTATGATTTTATATACCATGCTTAAATCATATATATCTGTAAATCAATTATATCTTAAATCAATTATATCTGTACAGAAGTAAGATGTTGCTTGTATATTTCTTCCTGATGAAAAGTTTAGTTGAGTGCATCTTGTCATTTCATCCTCCCCATTAGATCTGCTCACGAGAGAAAGGACTTTTGAAGAATGTGAAAAGGAAGAAAGACTACAGGGCACTTACCAAAGCTCAGATGCTTAGGATGCTTTCCTCCAAAGGAAGCAACAGGTATTTGGGCAACCTAGAATACTTGATTTAATAAGAGGAACATCAACAATGAATAAAGGAAAAGACAAAGCCCTTTTACATTAGAAAGCAAATATTTTCTTCCATTTGTAGATATTAAATACAGTATCTATTTGAAATCTGCAGCTTAATGTTAAAACAATCTTTTGTAGAGTAGAACTGAAAAGAGTAGAACTGTCTATTAAGGGCACCTGGGATGGGAGGTAACATTATTCTATAGGAATGAATATATTTTTAAAGTAAAGTAGAAGAGAGAGATAAGAGAGATTAATTTTAGAAAATGACACTACTTTTCAGATGACTAAAAATATGTTTGAAGGATAACTTTGGGCTACTTCTGCTCTAATGTAAGTTGCAAAAATGTCATGCTTCCAGAAGACACTGCTAAAATACAGGTAGTCCTCAACTTACAACAGTTTATTTAGTGATCATTTAAAGTTACAACATCACTGAAAAATGTGACTTATGACCATATTTCAGACTTACAACCATTGCAGCATCCGCATGGTCATGTGATCAAAATTCAGGTGGTTGGCAACTGACTCACATTTATGAGCATTGCAGTGTCCTGTGCTCATGTGATCACCTTTTGTGACCTTCTAACAAGCAAGTCAGTGGGGAAGCCAGATTCACTTAACAACCATTTTACTAATTTAACAAATACAGTAATTCACTTAACAACCATAGCAAGAACGGTCATAAAGTGGGACAAAACTCACATAACAAATATCTCACTTAGCAACAGAAATTTTGGGCTCAATTGTGGTCATAAATCAGGGACTATCTATAGGAATTTTCCACACTTGGTATGAGATTGCAAGCTAGCCGTAAGGTATTCAAAATAACTGGGTGTTTAAAATTAAAATCACAAAGAAGCACAATCCTAAGTATTAGGTCTTCCTTATTAACCATGTTATTCTCTGTTCACAGTTGTACATCAACTAACTACATTTCCAGATAGTGCCAATCTACTTTAGGCATCATAATTCTCAACCACCTTGAAAAACAGGATAAACTCTTATGTTTCATCCCAATATCTCCTTTTATAATATAAATTTATCTTGATTGCTATCATTAAACCAACAAAATTGAAATTAGCTACAGGTGATTTTAAACCAGTTGCATCTGTAACAGGTAATAAAACTTAACTCGGGATTTGGATTGAAATCAACTGTTGCAAGCTTACATCATTTTGAATAAGTATTAGTAGACACTGTACTATCTACTGTTCCAATGATATATAAAATCTGTCCTTTCTAAGATCTATATCTGGTAGAAATCCTAATACTTATTGTACATTATTACTCAAAATAAAGCTCACATTTCAGAGATTCAAACTTGTGAGAAAATCAAATTTTACCTCCACACCTTCATCAATATCAGGAGAAAAAAAAGTACCACCGTGTCTAGGATTGTAGACACAGAAAAAAATTGTATGTGATTGGAAACTCGATCTTTTTTAATGCTATGCTGATTTACTATATTGCAACTTTTGGAATGAATGTCTGTATCTGCTTTTTGTTCCTTCTCTAAAGAATAATCTGGTTTCTCTATCACGCTCATGATTTTGTAGTATAAGTTTCTAAACAAGTAGGAATGGAGGCTTGTAGCCATTCATCAAGGTGCCACCACTAGACTGGAAGAAGTTGAGTTATGAATGCAAGAAAGAGATAAATTAAAGAGATTGTATTTGTCAGCTGTTAGTGTGTGCATGTGTCTTGGCAGGCAAAGTAAAGCTATGTACAATCTCTACACAACATTCTGTGATGAGGGAGAACACTTTGACCCATGTCTTCTCCATGGAACAAAAGGTAAGAAAGAATATGATTGCTTTTTCTTTGCTATTGAAATTAGTAGCATATTTATTTATTTATTTGGTATGCTGCCCATCTCATACCAAGTATGTTTTTGCTTTTGTCAGACAAGTTGTTGTCAGACTCCTGTAAGCTTTTGTGGAATAATCTGATGAAAAGATCTGAAATAGATTCCACACTGAGGATATCTAGATTTCCTTGGGTGAAAGAAATCAATAATATAATTTGCTTTTAGGGCCTTTTAGCAGACTCAGAATATTATGTTTACTTTTCCAGGACTCTCCAGGGCTTGCACCATTTTTACTGCCATCAGAAGGGGAAGAATTCACATCAACTATCTCCTCCTTACCTTACACACTTTGGGTATCCTCCTGTCCAAAGATCAGATGCTTCAAGTTCTCCAGTTTATCCCTATTGATGGTCTGTGCTATTTCTTATTCTTGAGCCTAGGAATTTCATAAACTAATATTTTGCAGAATTTTAAACAAGTAATCCTTGTGTGCATGCTTGTTAGTGTGTGTGTTGTGTGTGTATGTGTACATGAAATAAATACGTAGAACATGTTACATTTGGTTCATTTATATATAAAATTATAAACTAACTGTAGTTGCCTCACATTTTTACCATTTTGTCTTGCCTTTCTTTTTCATACAGCGTATGGCAGTCTGGATTTTTATGACTTTTTGGATGTTGCACGTAACACCTTGCTCTACATTGATCTTGAGGGTATGTAGAATATTTCTCATAGAGTTACAGTCAATATAAAATTATTCTGAATTTCTTTCTCACGTTTTCTATGTTCTCAAGGTTCATGTACCTTTTTTGTAATGGCTCATGTCCTTCCTCCTTCTCTGAATCAAATCTACATTTGTTCATGCCATTTTAAGTTTGCTTGTGGCTCTCAGATGTCATTAATGCTGCAATAAGATTCAACAGACAATTTGAGCAAGAAGGAAGGCACTATTCTGCCCTTTGCTTCAGATAACTGTAATGTCTGAAGGTTTTCCTAACCCTGGTCAATACCTATCAAGTCACTAGCCTTTTAAGATGGCCAGATGCAGAACTGGAGGACTTAAAAAATTAGGAGTGACCATTTTATATGAATTTACAAAACTTAAAAGTTGTTTGAGGCCCAATTCTAAGATAATTTTATGTCAATTTTTAGCTATAGGATGGTTCTGAAACAGTGGTGGGATTGAAATTTTTTTACTACTGGTTCTCTGGGCATGGCTTGGTGGGCATGGTGTGGCTTGGTGGGTGTGGCTTGGTGGGCATGGCTTGGTGGATGTGGCAGGGGAAGGATACTGTAAAATCCACATTCCCTCCTCACCCCACTAACCTGCTTTCCAGCTCCGTTCTCCTGTTCAGGACAACAAAATAAGACCCAGCCAATCAGCTGGGACTCAGGAGGCAGAGAATTAGATGGGGGCTGGCCAGTCAAAGGTGGTATTTGCTGGTTCTTATAACTACTCAAAATTTCCACCACTGGTTCTCCAGAACTGGTCATAACCTGCTGAATACCACCTCTGTTTCTGAAACCTAATCACTACCAGAACCTCTGCAAGATCAGTGAAAAGTCTGGGCCAAAAATGCTTTACTGAGTATAGTATTTCTTCTAGGTTTTATTCGCATGCTACTGAAATTTTCTGTGAACATTCTGTGATATTAGTTTGGCCAAAGCTTGTGACCATAATACAGGTAGTCCTCACTAATTGGGACCAGAAACTCTGTCCTTGAGTTAAAACTTCCACACAACTTAGCAGTGATTCTGGCAGTCCCAGATGCCATCATTAAGTGAGAACTGCATGGGCTATTGAGCAAGAATCTCATGTGACTGCGACTTATGATTTCCTGCTGGCTTCCTCATTAATTTCTTCTCAGAAACTGGCAGGAAAGGTTGCAGATTACAATCACATGACCACAGGAATGCTGAAAGGGCTGTAAGTAAAGTGACTGGTCATAACACCATTTGTTCAGTGCCATCTTAATCATAAATTATTACAGTAAAAGTTATTCTCTATTATTCTCTATACTATACCTAGGTGATTATCAATTTGTGCTTTTTAATTGTCCTGTCCTGTTTTTGTTCTCTTGCATCTTCTGCAGCTTTTGAAAATGTTCAGAGGATTTTCCGAACCATTAAAAAGGATATGATAGCCATTGAAGAATTGGAGCCAATTTTAGCATGCTTGGGGGTCAGCCTTAGTCCCCTAATTATACAGCAAACACTAGAACACACTACAATTACCAGTAAGTATATGCCTATTTCAGTGTATGCTGGATTGGAAGAGATGGTACCATTAAAAAGATTATAAAATTTTATATTAAACTGAAGGTTGCTACCAAGTTTCTTTGGTCTTTGATTTCAACAGAAGAACCAGATTATTATCAGAGACAGAAAAGAAAATCTGAACTCATCCAAGTTCATCTCAAAGGAAATGTGAAGTCTATAGTTCCAAGTTCTTTTTTAATATACATCAAAATTAAACACTAGAGCAGTGTTTCTTATCTTTGCAACCTTAAGTTGTGTGGACCTTAATTCCCAGAATCTTCCAGCCAAGGTTGAGAAATACTGCACTAGAGACATTGCCAATTTCCTTGCTTTATCATTCTATTATATTTATTATGAAGATAGAAGCTTTTACTATAAATTGAGATGAAAATTAGCTGCATCGAAGAATGAGGAGGAAAGTTTTGAGATTTTCAGGTAATGTTTTACATCAGTTACTCAAAATGACATCATATTTTCTGTCTCAGTAACAACAAGTACATGTTTGACTGAAATGAATATCCATTCCTACAAAGTCCAAATACATATCTGTTATGTCTCCCCTTTAATTTCAGGTGAGCAAAACAAAATTCAGCCGTTTCAGAATTAACTCAAATCAAAAACAAACCCCCACAAGAGAACGGCTGAAGTAATTCCAAAACACAGCAATAAATCCACACTCTGTCCGAAAATCCTGGCATGGCAGTAATTCACAAGCCTCAGAGAGTTTGCTGCATGTCTTCACTCCCATTTAGTCACTTTGCTTCTGGCGAATTCCACCAGCCCAGCCGTGTCCTTTTATCCGCTTATGGAGCGTGTTAATTTCCCTAATTAGTTACTGGCTCGACGCCTCCTTTCTAACTGAGATTGGCGTCTCAGCCTCCTTCTATTTCTGACGTCAAGCCATAAGTTCTCCAAGTTGTCTTCCCCGCTGGAAAACTCTTGCATGCCTTCCTTGTTAGCCATTCCCGGCTGCTGCTCAGATAAAGAACCAGAGGAGGTCGAAGGTCCTGACAACTCCAATAAATCAGGTTTATCTCCCCTTGTTAAATCCATCTCCTCATCCTGGGTACTATCCAAGTCACTAAGCAATGCCGGCTCATATTTTGCTGCCATATCCTCGTCGCTCGAACTCATATCTGCCACAGGAGCAGATTCCAAGCCCGGAGTCACAACACATATCAACTAATAAAAACCCAATTAAACCAATTGTGCCAAGACTACACACGTTTGATTCAATAAACCAATAAAGCTGGACTTCAGTAGTCTCCACTGTAGTGCTCATTCTTCAAGGTAGCTAAGATTCAGTTTATCAATAATAATAGTTAATCAATAATTTGCCTAATAGGAAACTATAAGCATACGGATATAAATGTGGGGAAAGAGGTTCTTTTATACAGTACATTCCTGAAGTCTTTTTTCTTTGACAGAGGATGGGAAATTGAACATCTCAGAATTTCTGACATCTGTGAGAGGATTATTAAGTCAACATATGCGTAAGTGTTCACAGCTCATGAATTAGGTTCATGGTAAAATGTTGTCTAGCCCAGTGGCCTCCAACCATTCTGACACCAGGGACCAGTTTTGGAAGAAAAATTGTCTTCCACAGATGGGAATGGAGGGGAGGAGAATAGCAAACTAGAGCCTGTGTATGTGCCAATGAAGGTTTGGTTACTTGCTCACCTCTTCCACAGCACAGTTCCTAACAGGCCACTGACTGGTACTAGTTCATTGCCCAGGGCTTGGGACCCCCTGTTTTAGTCTGGTCTCTGTAAGTTACTTTTCGGTTGTTGTAAGTGGATGCTGTCTTAAACTGATATAAAAAAAAGATTGATGTACTATGAAAAAAAAAATATGTATATAATTCCTAAAATTCAAAAAGTTATGGTATACTTATTTTCTGAACTAAAATAGAAGGCACACTTTGCTTTTTTTTATTAATGGTTCTTAGAATATCCTATCTTTAGAAAAGCTCATCCTCCTGTGTTGTATTTATGAATCATTGATTGGGAAGGAGATAATTGGCTAAAAGGAGAGCAAAGATTATTAAACAAAATAAGCACTTCTTGAAGATAAGTCATTTATGTTGTTCCTGCATGAAGAATGATGGGTACTGTGGATTCACAATAAAATTGTAATTTTCTTTTTACTATACTGGTAACAATACCTCTGGGAATCATTGTGTAAAATATTGTTATTTGGCAGTATGAGTGCAGATAGCACTTTTATAGAGATTCCTTACTTCAGCTTGACATGTACAGTAGTTAATAATCTCATTACTTCTTCTGATTGTTACTTATAGATGAGTATGGTATTTTGGACAGAGAATCTTGCCAAGGCTTTCCTACTATGGATGACTCCGAAGTAGAACGGAGAAGAAATATTTTGCTTGATAAGGGGATACCACTTTGTTATGCTCACTTGGTTGGATTATATGAACCAGATGAAGAGATCACTATTGACAGCCTAGAGAAGAAAGCAAATAAATTTCAGAAACTTGTTGGGCTAAAGCAAACCAACAAAGCAACAGCTGCAGTTTCCGTGGATGAAAAGGACAAAAAAGACCAAAGCACAGAGTGGCCAAAGATTAGATCAAAATATGGCTATACAAGTCATGACACACTGTTTCCATTAAGTTCCACTCTCCCACTTGGAGAAAGTAAAATAATGGCCACACAGTCAAAGACAAGATGGCCATTGAAAAAGCCCCCAGTACTACCTGATCTTTCTTTAGTTCCTCATGCAAGCCTCAGTAGTGAAAGTATAAAGCAGAAAAAGAAGAAGAAAAAGAAGAAGCTTTCCTTCCAAGATGATATCCCAACTAGGCATGATGAAGACAAACAGGAACTTGATGAAGACAAACAGGAAACCGAAGCTAAGAGAGATGAAAGTGAAGATATGGGACATTTAGAAGATCTATCATTTCAGGAAGGTGGGTTTTGAAATTTTGTACATTTAATGTAATATACACTTGAGCTTCCATGTTTTGGGTCGTTGAAATGTGGTTAATAAGTCATTTTTGACAGATGGAAGTCCAGTCTCTTCTTGAAAGCTTCCAGTGATGAAGCTCCCACAAATTCTGAAGGCAAGCTGTTCCATTGATTGATTGTTCCCACTGTCAGAAAATTTCTCCTTATTTCCAGGTTGAATCTCTCCTTGTTCAGTTTCCATCCATTTCAATAATATCAGCGTCAGCTGAAGTTAGAGTTTCTTATGGATACCTATTTAAGATTGTAGAGCTATTATCTACCAGGATTTTGCACTGCTTTAACCTTGACAGCTCATTGGTTCTTCCTGACTATGTTGCATATATCAGCTTGCTTTTTACTCTGGTCCACCCTATATAATATTCTATATGAGCTTCAAATGTATTGAACTACAGCCCTTATAATTCTCCAGAAATTTCCATGCCCACTGAATCAATATTTCATTTTTGTCTTTTACTTTCTTATCTCTGATATTCAGGCTTTTCAATGAGAAGCCTTATGCAGGATGATTTATGTATTTTCTCCTTTGAGCAATCATTCCCAAATATTAGGTGGGACCAGACCCTGGATAGTTTTACTCATAAGATGTGGAGGACTAAAGAATAATGGTATTAGATTATTCATGTGGGTAATCAGTTCATTCTGTCTATTTGTTTTATCAAACTAAAGGATCAATGGTGTTGGTATGTTCCATACTATTCTGAATATTAGGAAAATCTAATTATTGTCTTGTTGGATAAGCATTGAGATTTAGCAATAGCAAATAGCACTTAGACTTATATACCACTTTACAGTGCTTTACATCTCTCTATAAGCAGTTTACAGAGTCAGCATATTGCCTCCAACAATCTGGGTCCTCATTTTACCACCTCAGAAGAATGGAGGACTGAGCCAACCTTGAGCTGGTCAGAATGTGCAAACTACTGTATGTTTTTGATTATCTATCGTGACTACATTCTACATGGATATCCATTGTGAAGACCAATAAAGTAGATGCAATCTAAAACAATCTTCCTCAGCTTGTACCTTTCAGATATTTTGGGACTGCAACATCCAACATTTCCAGTCATATAATCCAAAACAAATCTGAGAGTAGTACATTGGCAAAATCTTCCTTAGAATAACCCATGAAGACATGAGCTTTTAAAGTTCCAAAGAATTTTAACAAAATTTATCTGCCTCATCCTAGCTAATTGATTTCAAACTGTGCTATATTCTTGTCTTGTTAATTGCCCTCTGATATAGGTAGTCCTCAACTTATGGCCATAGTTGCTAAATGAGACAGTTGTTGGCTGAACTTTTCCCTACTTTACAACTTTTCTTGCCATAGTTATTAAGTGAATCACTGCAGTTCTTAAATTAGTTATATGATTGTTAAGTGAATCCAGCTTCCTCATTGACTTAGCTTCTCAGAAGTTTGCGAAAGGTGATTGCATGCCCCCAGGATGTTGCAACTGTCATAAATATGAGGCAGTTGCCATCCAAATTTTAATCAAGCAACCATGGGATGCTGCAATGGTCGTAGGCGTGAAAAATGATCGTAAGTCACTTAACTCACTTTTCTCAGTGCTGTTGTAACTCCAAATTGTCACTAAACGAATGGTTGTAAGTTGAGGACTATTTGTACTTTCCCAGATTTCTGGTGAGTCATTTAAGAAAGCCCAGATGGGAAAGCTCTTTAGATAGCAATTCTGCAGACTTTTTGTTTGATTTTTTTCCTGTGAAGGGATTGAACTGGAGCCACACGATCCTTTATCATCAGCCTCACTGCCTTTTAATGACAGTGAGTAGGACATGACCAAGCATTCTGATGGTAAGCAGTCAATATGGATGACAGCAAAATGGGCATCTGTTGTGTGGAATGCTGCTTATCTCACACAGAAGGTGCAAACTTGTCCACAGTACTTTGCTGGACTCTTCATATCATGACAGGATTGGCCCTCTTGATAGGCTTGGGGCAAATGACCAGCTTTTATGATGCTTAAGAGAAAGACTAAGAAAGCAGCACTGAAACCAGCTTCCTAGTGGGATGAACCAGAGGCCAAACATACATTTAGGAATGAGGCTTTTTCTTTCATGTCAGATACAGTATTGGTTATTGGAAAGATTGTCAAAGAGGAAGGAAGGAGGGGTTTCTAAACTGTAATTTCCTACTTTCAAACCATGAGCCAGAGAACAAAAAGATGTCTAACATTTGGATTTGATACTGGCTGCCATGCCAAACAACAATCTGGCTTGTTTAAAGTATCTTGCTTAGTTAGTTTTTAGCATACTTTTTTAAAAAAATAACTAGTGTTTTCCACCCTTGGCAACCTTGAGATATATGATTTCAATTCCCAGAATTCCCCAGCTAGCATGAAGTCCACACATGCTAAGATGGCCAAAGCTGGGAAATGCTGCCCTTAACACATGTATATAAATTGAAGGGTATTTTTCAATCAGAGAAAAAAAAGTTGGCCACATTCAGAATCAGCTGAGTAAAACATATTCAAATGTAAATTCTACTTTTGCTTTATATGAAGTGATAGGAGCAAGTCATAAAGATATCTGCGTCCATAATTGTCCTGGAGATTGTCATCATGGCCTATGAACAGACATGGGGAGAGAGGACTAGAAAAAGCCATCAGTTTCTGATTTTTGAATTTAATGCAAGAAGGTCATTGTTTCCAATGAGCCTTTGCTACTTATGTTCCTGTATTGACCTAAGTTTAGTAGGTTATATAAAAATCAGCTGCTACTGAAAAAAAATGAGACCATATGACTTTTTGCCTTATCATCCTAATAGCCCATGAAGCATTGATTGTGGCAGCCTGAAAGAAGTTGACGTGTTCTCTTGCTTTTAAATTTAAAGGGCAAAACCCACTAGATGATATTAATTGAAGAGGAATGTCTAATCTGCTTCTTTTTAGTGCACTAGGTTTTTGTTGTAATTTAAGAAGCAAGAACAAGAATAGTTAGCAACAATGACATCATAGTCAATTGCTTCCAACTATAGATACAGAAAGTATCAATATAAAAGAGTTAACATGAGAAACAAGAGTTAACATCAGAAACTTCAAATTGTTTCAGCACACATCTCTATAAAACATGTATTTTGCCCCAAACTAGCATGTTTTTTCAGCCTTACAGAATATGTTTGATGTCATCCAAATGCTTCTGGAAGATAGCATCAAAAGTCATGATCTATGCTCCACCCTGAACAAACTGGGAATCGGCATGAGTGACACAGAATTCCAGGAAATGCTGCAGCATGCAGATGTGGCAGGTTAGTCTCTTCGGTTCTTTTGGGTTTACATCTTAGCCAGTGGGTTGATGGACCAGGTTTGTGATTGTGCTTCTATCTAGCTTTTATTCTGATCAAGCCCAAGAGTACCACCAGAAGCCTTATACCATATCAAACTAATGATCCTCACCTAACCAACCAAAGATATTGAGATGCCAGGAACAGAGCCCAAGACCTACAAGCAAACCCTTATGCTTATTATTGAACAGTACTACAGTACTTTCCATAAAAGATAAACCAAGTTCTCATGTTTTATTTGCCACTATCCAACTGTTAAATCACATAACCTCAGTCTTTTTGTTTTATACTGTATGTGCTGATCAACATGATTTTTCATTGTATGCATTGTATCTACATGCGCATCCAATTCTAATAATAATGTTGTAAACAGTTCTTTTCTATGTCCTTAATTGACCTTTAATTACTTAGTTCACTTTTCCACCCAGAAATTGAATAATTTACAAGTTATACCATGTGAAGTATTGGATAAATCTACTAAGATTGCAGTGAAATGGAACCGTCAGGTCCAAAATTATTCTAGCCAAAAGGAAGGGCTTTTAATTCCAGTACATCTTAATTATACATTTTTTCTATTTTGTGGAAGAATTAATAAGTTTTTGTCAGCATTGGTGGCTACTCCAATAGAGATCCAATTATTACTGCTTTACTATCACATTTATTGACAGGAAATTAAGCATGGATTCTTTAACCAGATTTATTGAGAAAAATGTTCAGTTAGACAAATTTCAACAAGTGGCTTCTTTGAAGTTTCTGACATATTATGTTCAATCTACGGAAGCAGGAATAATCGTGGCTTTTGTGTGAATTTGTAAAAATGGCTGTATTTTTAACTAAAGAAGCTACTCTTCTAGCATTGGAACCATACCATACCATAATAACAAGTTAATTCAGTACTACCTTTTTTACTACAAAGTAGGGGTGGGATGCTACCGGTTTGGCCCAGTTCTATAGAACCAGTAGCTCTGAAGAGCAGCAGACACTGAACCGGTTTGTTGAGATGACCTTTTGGTCATCTGTTTGACCCACCCGCCTCCCCTGGCTCTTGGCTGTCCTTTATTTCCTGCTTTTTCAACCTCAGCTGCTTTGTGCAGCACAGCTGAGATTGAAAAAGCAGAAAAGAAGAGGATTTTCAAATGCTGCGCACCCATGCGCAGCACTTATTAGCTGTCCGGGTGGTACAGCTGATGGTTTTTTGCAAATGCTATACACGCATGCACAGTGCACATCAAGAGCATGCACCCGTGAAGCAAGTGCACACACGCAAAATGCACTCTCACTGAACCAGTAGTAACACTGGATGAATCCCACCCCTGCTGCAAAGGTGTAAATATGACACACACACCCCAAATAGGCCTATATTTAGGCAGTTGAAGCCACTCCACAGAAAAACCAGTGCTCTATTCAATCTATTGTTTTAGTCTGTGATTGTTGTTCAATCTATTTCCAATTACCATGGCAATTTCTGAGCATTTGATAATAAAGATAATGCACACTTCATTTGAAATAAGAATAAAGCTTAAAAAATTATCTACAAACTTCCAGCTAGCAATAATAATCATCATCATAATGTTAAGAAATTGAAGTAACAAGAAACGATTGATGAAAATGTTCCATCTGAATGACCAATAAAATTTTTGCTAGAATTTCATCTCCACACTGTCATATCTGTGAAGCAAGACCCAAAGTTCATTGCAAATGACTCACTGAAAAATGTATGTGATACTGAGGGGATATCCATAGCTTCATAATATAATATTGCTATATAATATTGGTATATATGATAATAATGTGCATCAGAGAGTTATTAGAAGGAAACTTTTTTGCCAACCTGATTGCAAAAACCATTGTATAAGGTATGGAAAAGAAAAACTTGATAAGCTCAAAATGTTTTGAGACAAGATGTTTTTCAAACAATGAAGCAAAACTGAACCATTTGACCACAATTGCACAAGATGTATTTGGAGAAATAAGGGTGAAGTATTTGCAGAAAAGGAATATCTTGACAACTGTAAAGTATAAAGTGGCTTTTTCACACTTTGGAGGTGTCAAGAGCCAGTACTACAACCAATATTATACAGGCATAAAAATAATAATGGATTCAACAAATATCAACACATCCTAGAAGCTAATGTTTACTGTTGCTGAAGAAACTGAAGGTAGAAAGAAACTGGGTATTTCAGCAAAACAACGATTTGTCCAAATCAATCATGAAATACTTACAGGAAAAAAAATAATGGTTTATGTAGGATCTTTTCAGTTCCTAAAATTGCATATTATGGAGATATAGGGAGACCTCAAATATGACCATGCATGGAGACATAAAAATATTTCTTAGCTAGAAAAGTTCCACAAGGAAGAGTGGGAAACAATTGAAAGAAAGAACAGAAGAACTACAGAAAATTACTTGGAAGCTATCATTTCTGCAAAAGGAGTTGTTATAAATATTAAGCAGGAAGGTGAACACTCTTTTCTTATTTTGACTCAGTAAACAACTGCTCTTATAGGGTAAGGTGCAGTCAAATTTGCACAACAATGTTACACTTAACATTGTACCATATAGAGGCTATATCAGTTTATTTCTAGATTCATTAATACATATAATTTTTCAAGATGGAGAGTGGACGTAAACTTTTGCATGTGGCTATGAATACCCTTGACCAATATAGAATTAGGAAATTGTACTTCTCCAAATAACATTGGACTGCAGTTCCCAAAGTTTATGACTTGTTTTCATATTGGCTTAGATTGATACAGTTTAGAATCTAATAACCACTTGAAGGCCCACATTTGCTTCAACCTTCTCTAAGGGATCAACTGTATTATGTATAAATCCCAGTAAATGAATACTTGTAACATGTTTGCATATTGCCATTGCAGAAGACGGGACAGTAAATTTCAACAGCTTCATATCCTTAATGGAGAAAATGTATTTCTTGAGTGAATTTGCAAGTGAGTAAACCAAAATACTGTTTTCAAGCCGGGAAGGGATATGGTAGATTTTCATTTCAGTCTCAATGTTTGTACTAGCTTAAACCCAAAAGAAAGCCAGGTAGAGTTTTATCCTGCTATGGTGCATCCACAAGGCAGGGTCACAAAAGTCAAGACAGTGGCTATGACCATGTGATTGAAACCTTGCCTCTTTTTAAGTACTCCATGTGACACCCATAAAGATGAGGAGCGATAAGTGAACAGTTGCAAGCCTCTTGACTTTTTCAATCCACACTGACTTGTCATCAAATAATTTAAATGCTCTTGATCTTAAAAATGAGAAGAGTTATATGTTTCAGCTCCAAGAGTTAGAACTTCCCATCACATTAGAATTCTAACATGAGAAAAGAAAAGAATTTCCAGGGAAAATAGGTATTTTTAGATCAAGCATCAAGAAAATGCAAAACTTCTCACTTATTGAAAGGACTCTTAAAATTCCACAAATTGTTAGGGCACAATGTTTTAACCCACATTTCTACTGGGAGATTTTTCAACAATTTCTCAATGGCAATTGTCATTAGTAACAGCCATTTCCTCTCTTTGTCTCTCATGGTTTTTTTTATCAGATTAATTTTTAAAGTTATATTTTTGTACCCTCATTCCAAAGCAGGCATGGAGATAGGCAGTAGTAGCAGCTGCCAAAAATGAAAAAAAAAAAGAGAATGTTTGCAGAAATTTATGTATTTATTTATTAAATTTAAATGCCACCCCACTGTTGAAACAGCTCTGGGTGACTTACAAAATGAAAAAAAGATAAATATAAAACAGTTAAATTAGTAAGAATTAAATAAAGACTGAAAACCTCAGGGACAGACAGCACAGCAGTGGGGTCTTTTCTCTTACCCCATCGTCTACCTTCAGTGTAGGGTGCCACTATCAGAGTGGAATTTCTACAAAGGATCCTCCTTCAGAGAAGGGGAAAAAATAATAATATTTTCTTAGGATGAGAAACGGCTGACCTGGAAACTCACATTTCAGCTAAGACAGAATGTAGCAACTGAATTGTACATCTTGATAGATCTGGGACAACATAAACTGCAAAATGACTCGCCTCACCAAAAACAATTGTTCCTCTGACTCTTAGTGAGCAAAACTGAAAGTTTTTTTTTTTTAATTAATTGTTCATGTCCTCTTCAATTTTCATTCTGCATCTTTGGTGGCAGCATAAATAGCATTTAATGACAAGAATTGGACATGTTTGCAATTTTGCAGTTTTGAAACGTACCATTCAAGCCCTTGACAAGATAGAAGAAGACAAGATGGTTCTGCATGACCTTCCTTTCTTTATTAGAAATATGGGTATCCAGCTGCATGAAAATGAATTAGAAGAAGCCCTAAAACAGGTTGCTATTGACGGTTAGTACAAAATAAAGTATTTTTCATCCATGTCACTAGAACCTAGCAGACATTATACAGATAGTCCTAGCTTAACTACCATAGTTGGGACTGGCAACTCCATCACTAAGATAATTCAGCAGGACATCATATGATTGCAATGGTGTCACTTCTGCCATGCTCATTAGGCGAGACCTCATGTGTGATTTTATTGCTGGCTTCTCTGTTGTTTTTGTTTGTTGGAAACAGACTATGAAGTGCACAAAATGGCGACCACATGATTTTGGGACACAGCAATGGTCTTAAATATCCCATGGTTGCAAAATGTTCAAATTTTAATTATATGACTACAAGGACACTGTGACAATTGTCAGTGCAAGGACTGATCATGAAGTTACTTTTTTACTACCATTGTAAACTTTGTACAGATATTAAATGGGGCAGTCATTAAACAAAGACTATCTGTAACAAAGAACTTTTGTTCTATACAAGATTCTGAGGTGACAATGATATAGTGCTTCTATAATCCCAAAAGTTGGCATCCCAAGCATGAAGCCCTCAACTCATTCTTAATAATAATGATTACAGCTTTTATGTTACATTGTTAAAAATTTAGAGGGTGGGACTTGTTATTTCCCCCATATTATTATTTTTTTGGGGGGATAAATGCTTCAAAAGTTCACATGTGTTGGGAACTTCTTCCTTCCTGAAGGGTAGTCCTTTTTATAGGTAAAACCAAAGCCCAATGAATGTATGGTTTTCTTGCACTACCAACTTTTCTACAACATTGTGTGCTCAATATCAGTTCTTATTTCCAAGAATCAACTGCCATGGTAAAAATACTAAATCAGTTCCTGTTCTCCCATTCACTTCTCCTCTTCCCCTGATTCCTTATAGTAAAAGACAACAAAGCCCATCAAAATACTTAAGATTAAGCAGGCTAATCATACCCAAATATTTAGTTTTTAGGATGTTGGAGGGAAAAAATCTAGTAGTGCTTGCGGAGATTAATATGATAAAGATTTTTCTTTGGTATGTGGTGCCCTTCTAAAATCTGCAGACACTGAAAAATGCCACAAAGAAACATTCGTTGGCTTTCTGATTTGTCTGGTTTATTACTGCATTGGCAAAGTATCTTCTTCCATTATGGTCCAAGGAAAGTCTTTTCTCCTAAATTAAATATTAGAGATCTCCGCTATAGAAGACCTATATTTCTTCCATTGGCCTCCCTTCTCTTTGCCCTTTATTTACCTCTATTTATGGAGGTATCATCTGTCTACCTGCCTATCAGTCTATCATCTATCTTACTCTTGGCTTGCAGGTAAAGGAAAGATAATTGTGAAAGACTTCATTGAAATTCTTACCCGCAATCCCCAATTTAAAGAACTGTCAGGTAAGTTAGACTGATCTTTGAGAAAGAGAGGGATGAAGATGTAGCTGAGGCCTTCAGCCTTCCTACACAATCATTTTAATAAATTTCCTACACTGTGTGGACCTTACATTGTGTGTATGCCCTGCAATTGTATGATGATACTTGATCAGGGAACATCCCCAGAGGTATTTAATCAAGCTTATAATACAGTTATACAAAAATCAGATAAAGATCATATCCAATGTGCTAATTATGATCCAATTTTACAGACTAATGTTGATACAAAGCTCTTAGGAGCAGTGATAGCAAATGTGTATAGCAAGTACTATTGTTATTAAAAAATGATCGAGAAGGGTTTGTAAAAACTAGACAAACAACAAACAATAGGTTAATTGTAGATGTAACAGCCTTGTATAAAAATGAAGACCAATTTGTAACCTTGTTGTTAGACACCCTTTGAAAAAAACATACAGGCAGTACATATTTGCTGTATTAAATAAGTTTTGATTTAATTTAAAATTCATAAAACAGATCAAAATGTTATGAGTTTCCCACATCTAAACTAATGGTGAGTGGCATATTTTCTACTACTTCCTCGTTATTTAGTGGAATTAGACAAGGATGTCTACTTCAGTCTTGCTTTTAATGTTTGCATGGAACCCTTGGCTTGTATTATTAGACAACATGGGAAGATTTATAGAATAATATGTAATTTAGTTGAACATTAACTGGTTCTGTTTGCAGGTGATAGTTTTCTGATATTCTTCTATATATTTCCAAACCTCACACTACTATTCCAGTATTGATATAAATGATATTTAGCAAACTAGCAGGATATTCTATTAATTACCTCAAATTGAAGTTGATGCCAACAGCTGAAAATAATATTACTCATTCATTTAAGGAATATCAATTCTGTATTTGTACTGAATCCTTTAATATTTAGATGTGTGAGAGAGAGATATCTCAATAATATATAATATAAATAAAATATATAAAGAGATTTCTTCAGATATACAGTATAATTTGCTTTCTCCTTGTATGATTGCATACTAATTCCATATCTAGTTGTTGATGTCCTTTGCATCTAAGCTTGTTAAAAAGTACACAAGTGTAATTAATGACAGCCAGAAAGTCATCAGTCATAAAATACTAAGCCATTTTACTAGCAATGTTGATTTCTCAAACAATATGGAATGAAAAGAGGTCCAGTTTTTCTGCATATGTATGAAAGTCTTCTGAAGCCACCTCTTGTCATCTTAACAACCGTCTCCAAGTCTTCTTGAAGTTATGGATTTGCTGGGGTAAAAGGGTTATTGCTACTCTGTCATGGAGGACAGGATATATTTTAGCCTTCTCAAGTTTTTTAATATCTACTTTTGATATATACATAAACACATAATTTTCTGTTGCTGCTGACCCTCAGCGGGAAAATGTTTTTCCACCGGACAAATATAATGATATACAAATTTATCAATGCTTGGCCTAAGATAAGGGAGCTGCAAGAAATACTTCATTTTTTTTCCTGTTTCATGAATGGCAGGCAGGTTGTTCATTAAACTAATTCCTAGTAAGGCAGGGATGAAAATTGGTGATTAAGAAGTTAGAAGCCCAAAAGAGTGGATACCGATATTGCCTTCCTGCAATATCTCCCAGTTTTTCTTTTGAGGATCTTATTCTTATCAGTTATTGTAATGCACATGCATGAAGAGTGATAGACAAGAGGCAACTTATTGTAAGATGGATGTGTTAACAATGCAAATTATCTTGAAAAGAGGATAACTTTTATTTGGGGAAGGAGTGTGTCAGTGTATGGAAAGATGCATTAATGGGCTTGCAGGATAATCTTATATTAAATGGCTTGCCTATTTGAGTACTTAAGGGAAAGGAGTCCCAGGGTAAGACAGATCTATATTGAAAGTGTGTTTCAAATAAGAGGGTGGGGGGAAGAGATGCTACCTAAGAAATAATCAAACAAGAAAGGCAAAAAACTCCAGTTTTCATTTTGGGACCTGCAAGATCCTATTAATCAGAATCAGTTTATTTTGTATTCGATTTTGCAAGTCTTAAAAGTACAAATTTCCCACCATCCCTTTTAATTGCTTGATCCATTATGGTGGATCGTCCTAGGTTTCTTTTTTTTGACTGCTAAGCCACTGGGAGGGCCTGCTTTTCTTGTCTGTTTGTTTCTCAGGGAGCATCTCTTCCCCTCATTTCCCAAGGTCAGCCACACATTTCATTGTATCGCCCTTCCCTTCAGAGCTCATCCTCCCAAATTCCCAGGAGAAAATAGGTTGTGGGCAGTGAGAATGAACCGTAGGTATGTCACTACCTTCTTCTGACAATTTCCCACAAGCATATCAGGTGTCCTATAAATCATCTGCTCCAGTTGACTGGCAAACAGACCCAGCTTCAGGAATCTTCTGATCTCCTCCTCTCATGTCTTGTATGTCTGATGTGGATGGAGCTGAAACATTTTCCCCTACTCAGTCTCTGCTTTACTTGAAACTCCCTTCGTCCCATGGAAGTGCTCCTCCTGCCTCTCTAGTCTGGTGGTTTCCGAGGCAGTATCCCTTCCTTTCCCATATATTCCAATCGCACATACATTCACAAAAATTAGACATGCTCTGTCTCTACCTTCATCTACCTGCAATCTGTTCTTTATTAAAATGTCATCTGGTAGATATGCACAAAAGTGTCTTGTGCAGATTTATTTAATGCAGTACTGTAAATTTCCAAAATCAGATTCTGTTCTGACCTAGGCTTCCTTAGAAAGCATAGAACACAATCTTAGCTCTGGCAAAGCCTCTTTTATTTCAATGGCTGTGAATTACATTCATTCACAGACTTCAAGGCTTCACAAACAGTCTTTCAGGGGAATGTTTATAAACACCCATATTATCACACTTGGAATGTTGCCAGAAAACTAATTGCCAATTGCAGGGCAAGGCCAAATTTGACATAGAGTCAAACAGAACTTTTCAAAGTTTGAATCGACCAGACAAACTAATTGCTTCCTGCAAAAGCTCACATCCCATTCACTTTTCTTTTATGTCTCATGGGGCCAATCATCTCAGAGGTGTGGCCTTACTACTGAGTCGACCCTGCTTTCTCAATTGTTCTTGTCTTCTGGTAGCCCTGCACATGCACAGACTGGGAACCGGTTTCATAAGCTCCCCCGTATCACTGCTGTCTGAGTCTGGAGGCAGCTGATGACTGCCAGACTGCCTGGCCCCATCTCTGCCTCCGATGCAGAGCCCTCGTCCGAACCCTCCTCAGTCTCCAAGACTGGCTTAGGTTCCTCCCCAACATCCTCACTACTGTCCAACTCTGCTGCCAACTCCATCAGCCACTGGCGGGTCACAACAGATTCAGCTGGAATTGTCGCTATTAGGTTGACAAAGTGGGGGACTTGAACTCTTCACTTAATAGATTTTGTTTTTCCATATTGAAATTTTAAGCAAATTGACTTTCTTGTGTAGTCCTATTGGAAATGAAGCTGGCTTTAAACATGGTACTGTTTTTGTGTCCTGTTTTTTATCAAGGTTCTCAACTGATAGATGCCTCTATTTTCATTAGTTTTCCCATTATGCCTAGAAAAGAAGTAATAATTGGTTTCCTTTCTCTATGTCTTTAAGGACATGTGCTTCCATTATATGGGCCTATCTGTGTTGACTCTCTCTTGTATCTGATGCCTTACCATTTGGTACATCTGACAATGGCCTGGAATCTTTAAAAAGGAAAGAAAATCCCAGTTTTTACCACCCTTTCTACCATTTTGGATGTAAAATGAAGCCTGCAAAATTCTGGCCAATTTCACATTGTTTTTTTTTTCTTTTAAAAAAGAAGAAGAAAGTACTACTTCTGTCTCCATCATTGAACTTGTAAAAAGAAAATAATAGTTCAATAAAAAGGTTTTTTTAAAAAAAAAATCTGCTGAATTCCATTAGACTTGAATTCAGAAATAGCAAAAAAGCAATCAAGGTCCCTTCAGAACCAAACAGTTAGTTTGGCAGCTCAGGACAGAATGGCCATGGATGACAATGATCAGTGGGAATGAATGTTGTTGGCATATAGTGCATCATAGCTAGTTAGAGTAGATGTATTTGCCTATGGTGAAATGACAGATCTATATCTATATTCAATTTGTTCAGCACAAATTGGAAAACACTATTTTCAATGTATAGGAGGGAAATAGAAGCTGGGGGGGACGACAGGTAGAAGTCTAACACCAGACTTTCCTGCCCTTGAAAAATCACCACACTGGTCTTGGTTAATATCTGAAGATCAGCCCTAATTTTTACCTGATAACCTGTCTTATCTTGAATCTTAGTAACCATATAGACTGATTTTCCCCAAGATAAACCCTAATCTGTTTTTTCAGGTCTTCCAATGGTGCATGTATCACTACTATAACCGACTCCATCCATCTGCTGCTGTCTGCCCTCTTGTTCTCTTTCCTTCCATCTTTTCCAGCATTAGGGTCTTCTCCAGAGAGTTAAATCTTCACATACTGTGTCAAAAGTGGGATAATTTGAACTTGGTCATTTATGCCTTAAGAGAAAATTCTGGGTTTATTTGTTTAATGGTCCATTTGTTTGTATCTCAAGAAGCTTCTCCAACACCAAAATTTTTTTAAAAAAATGTCAGTATTCTTCCTGTCTTGCTTATCGTACTAGTTATTATTTTGGGGTGGGTCTTCTAAGGGTCCATTCCTTCCTAATAAATTCAGTACTATCAATTCCCTTATTCTAAACCAACTTGCTATGCATGCAAATCAGGATGTGGTGAATTATATAAGTATTCCAAATCATATGAAATGTGATTAAGTACAGAATTCAGGTTGCAGTGTTTCATCCAAAAGAAAACAGTAGGTATATTTACTGATAATTCCCTAAATAAAAATGTGACTTTGTCTTACCCCTCAGTGTTGAAAGATACTATTCAAGCAATCAACAATATTAAAGAGAACAAAGTTTCTCTGAAGGACCTCAAAACCACCCTCCAGAATATGGGCATTTATTTATACCCACAGGAGTTCGAGGATCTAATTCAGATGATTGCAGCTGACAGTAAGTACTGCTGGAAGCACTCTTCTCAGATTCTTAGTGTTGATCTCTTCAGAAAGTGTCTCTTTTAAGGTAAAGATTTCTGTAACCCAAGTATCTGTTGGTGATTATATGGATATATACATATTTATAGCTTTCTATAAGTATATATATGTGTGTGTGTGTGTGTATGTGTGTAGGTTTAGGTGTGTTCGGGTCTTTTCCTGTGTAAGATTAAGAGTATCTTGGTGATGTTTCAGCGAGGTCCCACTCGCCATCCTCAGGCTGGTGCTTTCGGCTTCGTGCCAGTGTAAGCAGTGTGTGATCGGAGCTGCTGTCTCTCTATAAATACTGGTGGTGGGAGCTGGTGTGCTGGGCTGGTTGGCTGCACTGCTGCCTCTTGATTGGTTGATGGTGTTGATGTTGGTATAATGTGCTGTGTGATGGCCTTGGGAGTTTTGTTGTGGAGATATCCTGGATCTTGTGCTGTAATCTCCTGGGTCGTTTGTTCTGTAGTGATCTTTTTTCCATTAGCCTCTCGTGTTTTAACGGCTTGGGTAATGGGTTGTGTGGTGGGCTTCTGAGTTCTTTTGTTGTGGTATTCTGGGTCCTGCGTTGTAATCTCCTGGGTTGTTTGTGTTTTGATCTCTTTTCCATTAGCGTCTTGTGTAGTAACGGCTTGGGTAAGATCCAAGATCCAGGATATCTCCACAACAAAACTCACAAGGCCATCACACAGCCCACTATACCAACATCAACACCATCAACCAATCAAGAGGCAGCAGTGCAGCCAACCAGCCCAGCACAACAGCCCCCACCACCAGCATTTATAGAGAGATGGCAGCTCCGATCACACACTGCTTGCACTGGTATGAAGCCGAAAACACCAGCCTGAGGATGCCGAGTGGGACCTCACCAAAACATCGCCAAGATACTCTTAATCTTACATGGGAAAAGACCCAAACAGACCTAGACCTACATACCTGTACCCGTGAAAATCTACATATATATATATATATTCTTAAGTTTTCGCGGGTACTTACATGTATGGCATTCAGCTTTGTTCGGGTATTTTCCCACGTCATAGTAGTTGTGCTTTTAAAGTTGTAGCAACGTTTCAGCAGAATCTCATCTGCCATCATCAGGCTTCTGTATAGTGTTCATCTGTGAGTCAGGCTTTTACAGTGGTTTCAGATTTGAATTTGGGGCAGCCTATTGCTGTGCCAGAATGGTTTTTTTCTTCATCCTGATTGGTTGAGAGTCTTGGTCTGTGTTTATTGGTCTTGGAGTTTGCTGTGTTCTGCTTGATTGGTGTTTCTAATATCTTCTGTCTGTTTTTTGGCTCTTTTTGTATCTTGATTGGCTGGCAACATTGTGTTACTTTATTGGAGGCCTTTAGTGCAGCTTGGCTCCGGGTAAATGGACGGCTATCATTAGTTAGGAAGCTAGGTTTCATCTGGGTGCCTGGTTGGGGTGTGTTTGAGCTGGAGGTATCAGGGGGGATCTGTTTGTGCCCAGGTGTTTGCCTGGCTTGTGGTGTGGAGATTTTTTTGTTTGTGAGTGCAGGCTTCCAAATGATTGACAGTCTAGTGGAATCATCTCTTCTGTTCATGCTTTCTGGTCTTTTTTCAATCTCTATGGCTTCTCTGATGATTCTGTGGCTGGGGTTTTCTATAGTGGCTAGGGTTTTGGTGCCATTGAAGTTGATACTATGACCTGTGGCTTCCATGTGTTGGACTAGTGAGGAAGTGTGTTCCAGCTTTTTGACTGCATTTTTGTGTTCATCCAGGTGGGTACTTATTCTTCTATTGGTCTGTCCAATGTATGTGGCCGGGCATGATGCACAGGGGACTTCGTATATGCCTTGGTTTTCCAGGTCAATTTTATCTTTGGGGTTTCTGAGGATGGCTGCTATTTTTCTGTCTGTTTTGAAGGCAGTCTTGATGTGGTGTCTGTGTAGTATCTTACTAATTTTGTCTGTAGTGCCTCTTATGTAGGGCAGGACAGCTGTTCCATAGGTCTGTTCATAGTTCGCTATACGGCCTCCCAAAAATACACAAAGAAGGCATACCTCTCAGACCCATAGTCAGCTCCAGAAGAGCACCACTACAAAACCTAGCTAAACACTTAGCAAAACAGCTACAGCCCCATGCTGAAACAGCAGCTTCACATGTACAAAACTCATACCACTTCTTGGAATTGATCAAAGATCTACATGTGGAGCAGGAAGATCTGCTTGTAAGCTTCGACGTGGTTTCACTATTCACTCAAGTCCCGATAAAAGAGACCCTGGAAATCATCAAAAATAAATACCAACCAGCTAAACACCTCATGGAACTAGCAGAACACTGCTTAACCAACATATATTTCATATACAAAGGACAAAGATACAAGCAAATTGAAGGAGCCCCTATGGGATCACCACTGTCACCCGTCATTGCAAACCTGTTCATGGAAGAATTCGAATCCAGAGCCCTGGCCAATGTCACCCACAAACCCAAACTATGGTTAAGATACATCGATGACACATTTGTTATTTGGCCCCATGGAAAAGAAAACCTAAAGAATTTCCTAACACACCTAAACAGCACACCCCCCAAAATCAAGTTCACCATGGAAACGGAAACAAACAAACAACTACCATTCCTAGATGTACTAATCTACAAAAAAACAGATGGCACACTAGGACACACCGTATACCAGAAGAAAACACACACTAACCGCTACCTCAACGCCCAATCCCACCACCACCCAGCACAGATAAACTCCGTGGCTAAAACACTAATTACTAGAACCAAACGCCTGGCAGACAAGACACACATCAAGACTGAACTATGCACCCTGACTAAAGTACTGACAGCCAACGGCTTCCACAAAAGCAAAATCACCGGCTTGATCCACAAAAACACACTGAGACATAATAGAGACCCAGAAGATGAACAGACCTATGGAACAACTGTCCTGCCCTACATAAGAGGTACTACAGACAAAATTAGTAAGATACTACACAGACACCACATCAAGACTGCCTTCAAAACAGACAGAAAAATAGCAGCCATCCTCAGAAACCCCAAAGATAAAATTGACCTGGAAAACCAAGGCATATACGAAGTCCCCTGTGCATCATGCCCTGCCACATACATCGGACAGACCAATAGAAGAATAAGTACCCGACTGGATGAACACAAAAATGCAGTCAAAAAGCTGGAACACACTTCCTCACTAGTCCAACACATGGAAGCCACAGGTCATAACATCAACTTCAAAGCTAAATGCCATACATACATGCATACATACATACATACATACATACATATGTTTTCATAGATTTTCATGGGTACAGGTATGTAGGTTGCAAGCAATCTTACATGGGAAAATACTCGAACACACCAAGACCTACATATACATATACATATACATATACATATACATATACATATACATATACATATACATATACATATACATATACATATACATATACATATACATATATATATATATATATATATATATATATATATATATATATATATA